ATGAACCAATTGTTTTATAACATTTTCAACCCGATGAAAAATTTTTTTCTCGAGGGATTTGTTTGCTGACATCATGTTCGTGCACAATAGGAATATGAAGCACGCTCGCGCAATTGAATTTGATTAGACAAATTTACTAGCTATGTTATAAACAAAATGGATTAAATAATACTGACCTCCTGTTGAAATGTTTGATGAGGAGCAGGTTGAAGTTTGGGTTCTTGATAGTTCATGCGCGAGTAAAAGAAATCCTACAAAGGCATTCAGACTGTAAGATCTAACAAACCGACAGTTTATTGTAATTCCTATTCATATGCTCAATACATGTTAATTAGTATGATTATAACAGTTAGAGTTAAGTAATAGTTGCCAAACTAATATATGGGAAGCTAGTCTGTGCATTTTGCCATGTCTCCTGAATAGTTCACAAGTATCCATTCCCCAAATATACATCACAGTGGGGAGAGCCACCACAAAAGTAAAGAGTGTTGCCCGAGACAAAAACACGATGATCCCATAAGGATTTGAAACACAGATCTCTTGACCCAGAGTCCAATGTGCTTAAAATGAGGCTAGCACATTTCCCTATTCCACTGACAAAGTAATCATATTTTCTCAGAGCAGTTCCTTTGTTGAATATGTAAGAGTTGGTTCAAAAAGCCTGTTCCTACCTGCACTTCAGTCAGCCCACACTCATTCTTGGCCAGTTCTAACAGTGGTTTGATACACTTCAAGAGCGTTGTTTGGCCACAAGTCTTTAGGATGACACGTTCTTTGGACACAAACAAGCTGCTTTCACTGAAAAGAACATTGTGACAGTGTCATTTGGTATATTTTGAGCATGAATCTGATCACAAATAAAAGAGAGAAATCACTTGTTGACCTTCAGATGAAACAAAAGTAAAGAAACCATCCTCACAAGCAATCTGCAATAATAATACCTTTCTGCAAATTCTTTAACTGCAGCTTGCTTGTTAGGATCATTTCTTTTCTTGTTGTTCATCCACACTATAACATATGATTTATTTCATTTAGTTGTGGTACTTAGGCAAGAAAGTATTACATTACTAAACCTTTAGAGAGAGCCTGACCTGAGGAGAAATGCAATCATGTCATCATTCCTTTTTTCACTAAGAATAGTGCATTTTACCAATGACAGAAGCTCTGACCATTTCTCCCTATCAAAAGATAAAAATCATAGCTACAGGTTAGTAAAAATCTTTTCTCTTATTCAATCATTTACCAAAGTTATAACTCTACATGTTCGATGCCACAAAGTGAATGCACATACATGTATAACTTATTGACCAAATGGACTCACATTTACATGTGAAGATGTGATTCGACTGAAAATAAATGAATACAGATATCTAACTACAAAATATAA